GTGAATATGTATTTGATTTCAAAATTAGATAAGTTTTGATATGAATTAGAATGTTATGTGGGTTCCATTATGAGTATGACTATGTGAAATATGAACAAATGACATGAGGCATGATGTAAATGAGAATGTGCTAATGTGAACACTATGACTATGAGAATGTGAAATGTGATGAGATGAGATAAGCTATGACTATGAGAATGTGAAATGTGATGAAATAAGATAAGACATGAAATTTCATGATAAGTGAAACATTGAGTCAATGAAATTGTGAATGTGTGACATGCATCATGTGCATAAATGACTTATTCCAGGTATGCCGCTTAGGCCGCATGCCAGTGATGTAACAAACTATGTGATGAAATGATTTATTCCAGGTGTGTCGCTTAGGCCGCATACCAGTGATCTAACAAGCTATTCTAGGTGTACCTTGGGTCACTAGTGATGAAATGATGAGAAATGTGAAACTTTTGTATGGCGCCACATGCATGAATTTATGAGTCGATTCCATGACATCATTACATGATAAATGAGTGTGCAAGTGATATTGATTGTGTATGTGTATTGTTTACATGTGATTTGTGCTTGTGACTTATGTTTGTTGTATGTGTGCTATCTAACCTTTATTTCTGCATGAACCTGAGTGAGATGTTTCTCACTCCTTTGTTGTTCTTTGTATGTGTTTAAATTGTGTTGTAGGTGATCATCAGCGTGAGGATGTTGGTCATGAGACTTAGGCTTCAATTGGGCATGCTCTGATAGGATATGTGACATCAAGGCATAGCCAGGCTTAATTTAGGATGCTATTTTCATTAAACTATTTGAAAATTCAGTTTTATTTCTTTGTGATTTCATTGCCATGTTATTAAGTTTATGAATGTGAACTTTTTACCCTTATGTGATTGGAGATTTGATTTTTATAATGAAGAATTTTATTTTTATAATTATTGTATATGTATGTTGGGGTAGAGGGTGTCACAATATTCCCATATAATAATAAAGTAATTTTGACCAAATACTACATCATCATAATAATAATAATAATATTTTTGAAAAATGGGGTGTTATACTTTTGTTTTCCCTTTTTTTTGCACCATTATCCCACTTCTAATGGAAAAATATTCTTCAAAGTTTGCTATTTAACAATGTCTTCTAAACCATTGCAAAAATATTCTTATAATTTATTTTCTTGATTTGTCTTCAAGACCAATTGTATTTAAATAAATTTCAAAATTATATCAATAATATAAATATTTTATCAAATACATAATATGAAGAATATCATTAAAGATAGAATAATATGAATAATGGAAGAATAAATATATGTAAAAAAAATATATTACATCAATAAATAATTGATATTTCTCACTTTTGGTGAGAGGAAAAAAAATTTATTTAATGGTGTCTTCAAGACTACTTTTATTCATTATAATGTAAATAATATAAATATTTGATAAAATACACATTATGAAAAATGAATAGCTAACCTTGAAATATTTGTCTTGAAAAATATGACTTTCTTCAAAAAACATTTTCATAGTTTTATCTTACAGGTTACAACACCAATAGAGGAAAAATTATCATATTTAACATGTTATGAAAAGATAGATAAAATAGAGAGAACAAATAAGACAATATAAGATAGAAAAAAGAATCTAATTGATGTATTATTTATCGAAGAAGATCAACTTATTTATAATTATATATGATAGCCGAATAATTATACAAAAAAAAAAAGAAATAATACATAACAAGAATATAAATGATAATAATGTACATTGAATATTAACATCCACTAATTAAGTCACCAATTATTATTCATAACAATAAGCACAATTTTCTTCTGTCAAATTAAACTTGATAATTAAATCCCCTCTTTAAGAATGAAAATTAAAGAAAGAAAAAAAATTAATAGTTTAAATTAAATTAAGAAAATCTTTATTTTAATTGTTACTTATATATTACAAAATAATATAGTAATTTTTGAACTATATCTCATTTAAGAATTTAATTTGTATGGTATTGTTTCCTCTTCTTATCTATTTCATTTTGATTTTTTATTTTTGATTTTATCATGAGATATATAATAATATTATAATATTTAAGTCAATAATAAAATAAATTTTTTAAATAGGGTTACACTATTTTTTGTGTGTATATGTAGATGCTAAAATACATTTATTAACATAGAATAACTTTTAAATTAGATTTGCAATATGCATAGATAACTGTTATTTACACCACATATAGAAAATTGTAAAAGACATTATATAGTAGTTATATGTATACAATTTTAACAATAGTATCATATAAATATAAAGTTAAATTCAACATGTAAAATGTTGGAGAAAAAATTTCTCTACTCATCCACGCAAATAAGGACGTCTTTATCTTTAAATAATTTATTGAGTTAAACTTTTCTTACTTTTAATTAAATAACAATATATTTATTTACAAATAAATTAACTTTAAAAGGAGAGTATTGAATGTTTACTACAAGAGTAATCAACTTAAGAAATATCATTGTTATCAAAATATGTAATTTTAGGATTAACATAACAAATTATGTGGAACAAATTAGTATGTATTATTTTTACTATTAAATATTATGCCTTATAATGTGTTATATGATACTCAACTATCTCCAAGAAAGATACCAATTAAGATATAATTAAACTTATAAATTCTCAACTCATTCTTATAGAAATTATAAATAGAGTAAACTAGTTCATCTGTGAAGTAAATAAACGGAATAATGGTAAATAAGTTACAACTTGAAAGTATTGAACTAAACAAAGAGGTAACATAATTTCCTAACTACTCCAAATCCTTGATGTCACATTGGTATAAGAGTTTCCACACGCACCTAGATCTCTCCTTATTCCTCCTAAGACTAAGGATTCTCGTTTGCAAAACATATAAAACATATCAACAAACAAACAGGGAGTTAGAACAATCTCACTTTATAGGGAATGGATCGTAACCCTTGGCATCCTATCCCTTCACGATAATAAATATAATAACAACAATTAATACATCAATTTCAAATATAAACACCATCACTACACTCACAAATACATACACAGTAATGCAATATGGTGTGTACCTACATCTAAATGCATGGATACCCGACCATCATCATCGAGAATATACAGTTGGTACCTAAGTCCTAAGTTAATCCTAGGCTACCAACATAGAAGTGTTCCACCAAAATACCAACAGGTTCCCACCAGAACCACAGAATCATGCAAGTATGATGCATGTCACAACCATACAAATGTTTTTATATAACTACATCATGATCATCTTATAATTTATCAGCTGTCATCAACATCTATATTCATCCACATCAATTGTCACCCATCTAGATAATAATCATCATTCACAAAGTGTATGTATGTATGTATATATATATATATATATATATATATATATATATATATACATTTATCATCATATAATCAATCATAATATCATCATTTAAAACATCATAAAAGAGTCTCTTGACAATCTACGTTAGGCTTGGAAACCCACATTTGGCTCTAAACTAAAATAGAGAGCATCTTGATCTTTTCAGGCTATTAACAAATCCATGCTCGACTTTAAGCCAAAACAGAAAACATCCTGATCTTTTCAAGCACGACTTAACAAATCCACGTCTGACGTAAGTTGAGACAAAAATCACCCGGTCACCTCACGCTCAACATGGACATTTCCATGCCTAACGCCAACATGTCTAGATAGTGCTTCATGCACATCAAGGCACGCCCAACGTCGAGCACTTAAGCCTAGTGCCGCGTGCGATCTAGCACCCAATCATACCATCACCAGAACAATAATCTCAAACAAACATCACGATAAACGATCATACAAAAATATAAACAGCCAAAACTCATTTTAGTCCAAAAAGTTCATTGTTCAATGCGAATTCATCCAATTAAATGTCTACGACTTTTACCTCTAAAATTCATCAATTCTTCTCCCTTAGGATTTTAACCCCTTTTTATAGAGCACTCAACTAATCACTTTAGAAACATCAGATCACCAAATAAAATTCATATTCAAAATCTACTCGAAAAACCACATCAAACGCACACAAAATTTCATCAAACAAAATACTTATGGGAATAGGTTCAATCCCTCTACCCTTCATGAATACACCCAATTTCTAGAGATGAGTGTTCTCACTCCCTCCTTACTTGGAGTGATGCAACATATCAGATTTAAGCCTTTGCCTCCTCTCCGATGGTCCCTTCTCCTTACTCCCCGGATGCATTCTCTTCATAGCATAAGAGCGTCATAGAACATGAAGATAAAAATATATATGCTCTTCTCTTCCTCTCTTCTAATATATAACTCCCTATTTCTCTAAATCCCTTTATTTTTAATTATTTCTAATTCTCCTCTTAAATGATTAAATTCATTTAAATAAATAAAATAAAAACTATTAATCATAAAATTAAGTAAAACCATCATTATCTTCCTAATTAATTATTAGAAAAAATCCTAGGGTGTTACACCATATGCATGATAACATATAGTTTGTTTCCATTGCATAATGCATCTTAATTTTATGTGGTATTTGATTATTATGTCATTAAAGGGTGAAATGAGTTATTGTTACCAATCTATCTATGTTATGTATATATGTATATATATGTCTTGTTTGTGTTTGATTGTCCGACTACATCTTACGCTGTGAGTTAGAGTAATATATTTTTCACTCCCCTTATTTTGTATTTGTCTCTATTGTCACTATTAGAAAGATAATATTTTATGTCATCAATTCTACATCGATTTTAATAAAACTGATGTAGAAATCAAATGTGATAGCATTTTTGTAATTAAATGTATAATATAAAGCATATTTATTTACATCAATTTTGAGTGAAATCGATATAAATATTAAATTTTCTACATCAATTTTAAGTGGAACCGATATAGTATTAAAAGTACGGTGATATTTTTGTGAATAACCCTAAAGAGATTTACATTGATTCACTGAGTGACCGATGTAACAGTGAGAAACATCTATTTGACTGCCCCCGCGCACGCATGGCCCTTGCCCTCTCTAAGCATCTGAAACCCTAGAGCGGTGGCGATTTTAGGCTCCTTTCGTTACAGTGTTATTATACTCTCCCTCTCCCTCGCTCCTTTCGTTTCCTTTCCCAGTAACAACACACAACACACGCTCTCTTATTAGTCACTCCTTAATTTCCCGAAGGAAACCCTAATCGGAACCCCAAATGGTTGTGACGGAGGAAATCGCCGGCGCCACCACTATCATCAACCAGAGCTACAAATTCTCCGCACCGCGATTCTTCGATTTTGTCAAAGGCGAGTCCGACGAGGATGCCAATAAGGCCGAACTCTGGTTCGATACGGCTCTCTCCTACGCTCCTTCGCGTATGTTTGTTCTGTGCCTCTTCTCTCTCGTTCTTTCTCACTCTACGTTAATCGCTTATTTTCCATTCTGATAATGATATTTAGGATTAGGGATTAGAATCGACGGAAGTTAGGGTTCTGTTCTTTGGACCGAAGTTGTGATTCGTAGGTCGAGAGTTTATTGATCAAAAATTTTGGCAGAGTGGAATGTTGAAATGGAGAGGAGGAAATTAGGTTTTCTTATTGATTTTGAATATCAATGTGGAATCGCGTTTTGTATCTAGCAGAGAAATGAATTCGCTGTTCTGTTAGATGAAACAGTTGATGCTATTATGGTGTGAATGTGAATGCTTCTTTCGTGCATCATTTCATTTTGTCATAAACTATATGGCGAGGTTGCTCTGCTTTCAATTGCTTCTCAGGTTTTAGTAGCGAGTGGTTTCTGTGCTATTGACTTAAGCTGATGTTTTTCGATCTCAGCTTTGTTTCAAACTCTGTAATTTATTTTATTGGAAATTAAAATTCAACTCTTTCACTCTGCGCCTTGTTTTTGTATGTTGTGATTGGCGAATGTATAATGGCTCTTAGCCTAAACTCAATGATTTTTTTTCTTTCTAGATGTTCTCTCAGAGAGTGATGAAAGTAGCTTGAGAGACAATTTTGTATTTTTTATGAAAGAATTACTCAGTTGAGCTTTTTTTGGGTTTTCAAATTGTTGTTGCAGCATTCATGCCTAAAATCAAGACTGCTAGATCTATTACTGTAGATAGCTTGTGTGATTTTAGCGAGGATGATAATACATGCAGAAGGTACACAGTCACTTCAATTTTGGTGATATAGATGTACTTTCATTTTGACTCCTTTAACTGATTCTATTATGTTTTTTTACCAGATGTTAGCTAGTGTTTATAATAATACTCAGGAAACCAATACACAACCATAGAGCATAACTACCAAAACAGAGGAAGGCAATGCAGACAAAATGCTTAAGGTACTTTTGCTTCAATTTTGATGAAAAATATGTACTTTTAAATTTGGTTCCTTTGACTGATCATATACTTTTTACTATACGTCGGCAAATGTTGATAATAAAGTTCTGGAAACCAATATAAAACCGCAGTCCGTGGCTACTGTAAAGGAAGATGAAGCTGACAAAATGCAGAAGGTACTTTTGCTTCAATTTTGATTATAAATATGCACTTTTATGAATTTGGTTACTTTGACTGATTATTATATATTATTTTACTAGGTGTCAGCAATTGTTGATGATAAAGTTTTGGAAACCAATATAAAACCAGTGTGTGGCTACTGTAAAGGACGATGATGCACCTTGCCCAGGTAGTGCATGCTTAAACTGCTTGCTTTTGCTTGGTGGCAGCTGCTGGGTAGTTTGGCTAAAGAAATTACACGTGTCCTAATGACTCAACCAACAAACAATCCGGTTTATTCTCTTCATATAACTTTCAGTTTTGTTAAAAAATCTTCTGTACCATTTTTACTAATCTTTAATATTAGTATATTGAATTGTTTTAAGCTTGTCCAAACTTTTACTGTTGATATTGGCATCAATTTTTTCCAGCCCTTTAAAATAGGATTTTGTGATGTAAATATTGTTGTATTAATCAATTCAAAATTTTAAACATAAAATTTTTATTCTGGAACATTCGGGGCTTTGCCTCTAAAAAAGTTGCACTTAAAACCTTTTGTTTTAGAATGTGATTCTTCCATTCTACAATATAATATATAATTCTTCTATTTTAGTATATTTATCATTTACGTAGGGTACAGGGATTCTTAGCAATTCTAATTAAAAGGAAGAATATAATATATAATATAGAGTTCTATGTCTAAAAGTCGAATTTTGGAATGTCAAACTCTGGCCCTTAACAAATATTGAAAACTAGATATTTTCTAGATTCCTAAACTTGACAACTTGCAAGCAATGATAGAAGAATAAGTAATTTTTCTTTTTTATTCCCTTGTACCAGCAATGCTTTTGTTTACTGGTTGTTTTGGTTTAAGTACTCCACAAGTAAAAACTTGTAAAAATGGTTAATTTTATTTTATATAATTAATTATTAATATAAACCTTTCCTTGCAGGTGGTAGCCATCAGTTTGTAACCATTAAAAACTTTCCACGGAAAGAAAATAACTTACAAGAAAAGGTGAAATAACTTTTGTTTTCATTTTATTGTTAAGTCACCTTTATCCAACTCTTTTGTTTTTTAAAAAATTTCAGAAACACCTAAACCATACTATAGAGCCATATCAATGAAATTATTTTTGACTACCTTTCTTCATTTTTCATTTAGTTAATAATCCATTAATATTTTTCTTCACAATAAATTAAAAATTTTGTTTAGCAATGTTTATGTTGATGTGAACAGGTAGGTATAAATAAATTCCTTTTACTATTTATTTACCCTTGCACTGCCATCATGAACAGGTACAGAGCAACTTGTAAGAATGTTACATGCTTTAACAACAATATTTTATGTTATATTATATGCTTTCATACCTAGCTGTGAGAATGTTCTTCTGAGGTTATGATTAAACTTGGATTTAGTTTCTTTAATGTGAGGGACACCCTTTAAAGGATAAAATGTAAAGTTATCACCATTGATTAAAAAAAATCAATAAAATAGAACAGTTTTGTGATTTATTACCCAAGTACATGTATTTTATAAAAATTTAGTTAAGAGATTTTCAATGGTGGCTAATACCCGGTTACAGAATTAACAGAGTAAAGAGATTTTGATTGCTTCAATTAGTGAGAAATCAAATCTGCTTGGTATTTGTCTAGTTCAACATGCACAAATTCATGCAGAAATAGTAAAATGCTTCTTACAAGAGTAAAAGTGCATCATTGAATGAAAGGTTAAACAATTGTGGATCATTGAACAAGGAAAAAAATGAAAACCAATCACATGAGTTCTCAAGTTAAGCAAAAAAACCAGCAGAGCATAGAATATGTGCCCTCTTGCATCTTGAATTTCACCCTTAATTTCATTCTTATGCTTTCTGGAGGATATAAATTGAAGAATATAATTCAATTCCTTGATTTCTTTGTTATAAGTGAGATTTATTTTAGTTGTTGTTTTTGTTAAATTCTTGATCTAATTTTATGGACAAACATTGGTATGTGTTGAGAGTTGGTGTGATTGATACCTTTACTACTATGTTTTTTGGTTACAGATAACACTTTATATGGAGGTGCATACTATGGCTCTCACGTGATGCAGTACGGTGATGTAGGGTTCGACAATGATATTCTCTTCCTATATATGGCTACATCTTATTTTGTATTTTTATTGAAACTTGAGAGGTTGCTAGTAAACCTTTTTTTCCCTTGAATGTTTGGCCCTGAATGTTAAAACTATAAGAAAATAAAGCTTGTAATTCGATGGCGCATTTTATTTTGTTACCCACTAAGTTTTGCTTATTATATTGTATATCTTCTTAATTTCATCTTCACTATTTATTTCTAGTTCCGCAAATCTCCTAAGGGTTTTCCCAATAAAAATGTAGCTCAAAAACAAGTTATGAAAGCAATATCTTATAGAATGCATGTAAACAATAGTGTGAAATTTATTAGGAAGCTATTATTTGGCATTGAAAAAGTGCAGAATTACTCAACGCTATTATACTAGATGAAATGACACTTGTTGATGACTTAGACTACCTGATGTATAAATATTTATCTAATATATATAGTGTAAATTAATTAATTTCCAAAATTTATTAGTTTTTTTGAATATTTCTTATGGTTTTTTACTTGTACCAATCATAAAGAGAAAACCTTTTTATTTTTTTCCTCCTCCATTTTAGTTATTTTTCACTTTAGGTGCATTAGTTCTTTCAGGAGGCAAATGACTTTGGTGATTACTATTTTAATAAAGTGATGCTATAAGAGATTTTTGGGGTAATCGACTAAATGAATTTTGCCTACTAATGTTGACAAAACCGATGTAGAATATGCAATATTTTACATCGGTTTTTAGCAGAACCGATGTAAAAATGAGATTTCTTACATCAGTTTTAATTTACATCGTTTCCAAAATTGATGTAAAATGTTTAAAAAAACTGATGTAGAATGTGTATCCTGTAGTACTGTGTAAGTTCTTACAGGTGATTTACATCATGTGGTTGAGGATATTGTCGATGAGGCCTACCACTTGCAGTTGGGTTTATGCTCTAATAGGATATGACATTGAGACTTACGTAGGGATTATCTTTTTTTGTCATGTTTTGAGATAATTATTAGTTTTCTTGTAATATATTTCATTTGGATATTAGTTGGTTTTGTTATGTTAAAATATGATGCTCTCTATGTTTAATATTATGAATTTTCATTATGATAAACTTTTTGATTCAATTTTATTTATTTCAAGTGTTATGGTATGCGGAGTAGAGGTGTCACACTCTATAACTTCAAAATTTTAAATTTACTTATAGAGATTATAGATGTCAAATATATATAGAGAAATTTTAGATTTTTTATTGCATGTTAAAATGGCCACTAATTCGTTACCAATGTTCATTTATCGTCCGATGATGTAGTTAGTCCTCAAATCTCAAGGTCTTGAGTTTTAGTCTTGGTTTTGATAATAAAACAACATTGAGAGGGATAACCTTAATGGATTCAAGGTCTTCAAAGAGACTAATTTTTGACAAAACCAATAGATACTTCTATCAATACCATGGTACAAAAAAAATGATCACTTCCCTATAACAAAAATTTAAAATGCAAGAAAAAACAAATATAAAGGTGAAAAGTTAGTGAACATTTGTTGTTAGCCTTACTTTTATGTAATAATGGTAAAACTTTTAAAATTTGGAATTAAATATTGTATTTTAAAACTTAATATTAGTAATTATGCATATTAAATAAAAAAACACACATTTAAAGAAAGGATTCAATCACTTATTTCAAAAGTAAGTTTATTTGAATTTACTTCATTCAAGAACTCATATTTTATATCAAATTTCAGTGATTCAACTATTGGATTAAAATTTCTTAATGTATATAAATCAAGTTTGCATATTTTAAAAAAAATTGAAAACTATTTGATACTTTGTTTCATTAATTTAAACCAGAGTATAAAATATTTTTATGATTATTTGCCAACTTAAATTAAAGAAATGGAGTATCAAATAACTTTCAAAATTTTTAAAAGTTTGCAAACTTGATCTATATATTAAAAAAATTTAATTTAATGATTAAATCATTAAAATTTGATGTAAAATATTAGTTGTTGAGTGAGGTACGTCTAAATATATTTACTCTTTTGAGTAAGTAAATCCCCTTCGTATATATATATATATATATATATATATATATGTATTTTGTACATACTATATATAAATCTCATTATCAAAAGATATTTTGTAAATATTTATCTGTCAAATATAAATATTATTTTCGTCTAATAATAGAAGTTAAAACATGATATGAGACTAAGGATGAAACTAATTACAACAATAATAAAAAAAATTAAAAATAGAAATAAAAAAGATACAATAACCTTAATTAAATAAATAAAATATTGCAATTCATAATTTTAATTTAAAAATTTATATTATAAAATATTTTTTTAATTAATTATATATAAATAAAGATGCAGGATATTAGGTAAGTATTATAATATCCATATCCGTTTCTATCTCCATTAAATTTTGTGGATAAATTTTAACCCGTCTCCATTCCAATTTATGCAGATTGTATCCTCCCATTAAAAGTACTTCTGCTGATATCCATAAAGTTTGTGAATAAACTCATTCTTTATATATTGGTAAAGGCCTCATTAGTCACTACAATATACTCATTATCTTATCAAAACTATCAGAATAGCCAGTACTCAGTATTGTGATCTTATCATTAGGCAACTTTTTCGATGTTTCTGTCATGACACACTTTCTGGAGAAGCAAACTAGCAGCTTTTCTATATATGCAGTAGCTTTAGATGCTAAATCACATCACAGTAATAAACATATATAAAAAACAAAAATGCATAGCTAGCATGCATGGGCTTCAATAAACTCTCAGAAAGCAAATCCAGTTAATATCATGGATACAGTCAATGACATTAGTATCTGTTGTAAGCCTCAAAACAATAAATTGTATACAAAGTATGCGATGCTAACTAAATATATTATAAAGTTGCTCAATAGTTGTATAAGACTTAATTTGGTATCTGTGGAAAATTTGGTCTTTGTCCTATTAATTAATTAAGTCCAAACTTGGATGTTTACTATAAGAAAGTGAAATGAGTTACAGCATAATTTGCTCACATTTGGCTTGAGTGCATGTGTAACATAAGAATTTTATGTAAGAATTTAATATCTGCCATGGATTTTTCGGGGGTTTTTTTCTTAGAAACTCAAGGATTTTGAAATCATATATAATCAAGCTTATGGTTTTTTTTTTTTTTTGCTTTTTTGTTCATGTTCCTTTTATAGACTTTCCCTGTTGTAGGACTCTTGATCCTCCTCACTCTTACCATGTATTTCCTTTCTCTCAATAAATTCTTATTTCATCCCTCAAAGAATAAAATAGAGCATAATAAGTTAATAACTAACCTGGGAGAGATTAAGAACCTCAATGTCTAAAGGCCAGCTATATATTAGCTTTTGCTTCTCTCTTAGCTGAGTAAAACTCTTGTAACTCCTGCATCAATTTTATAAATAGAATTACAAACAAATTTGTATACAAATAGAATGGTGCGATGAAGTATACTCAATTGTAATTTTATAAGCTTAAGGTGCTTCTCGCATAAACTGATTCTCTCAAATTTTCATATTCAACTGATTGTCACAATTTTTTTTCATAATTTTCAATTATTATATATTAATTACGTTTTGTAAAAATACTAATTAATTACCTAATAAATGAATTTTTATGCTAAATGAATTCTAATTTTAAAATGTATACCCTCAAATAAGAATTTCAAATTATAACAATCTTATTTTAATTTTTCAAATCATTTTTAGGCCAAAAGATTTCTGGTTAAGCTCATGAAATTAACCAAGGATATTTTGTTCTTTTGAACCAATAATTTCAATTAATTTCGGGAAATGTTTGAAATTATGTATATTAAAGCATTTCAAGCATGTTTCAATATATAGAATATTTGATGTAAAATATGAACTATTGAGTGAAGTAAGTTCATCAAAACTTACTATAAATTTATTCTAGGAGTAAATGAACCTCTATATATATGATGAAGAATTTAGTTATTCTAAGAGTAAGTTTAATTATACTTATTTCACTAACTTGTGTTTTATGTTAAATTTCAATGATTCAACTATTGAATTAAAAATTCATAATGCATAAATCAAATTTACAAATTTTTAAAAATTTAAAAACTATTTGATACTTTGACTCATAAGTCAAATTATGTATAAAATATTTTTATAATTATCTGTCTATTTGAATTAATAAAACCAAGTATCAAATAGTTTTTAATTCTTTTAAAAATTTATAGACTTTTAACATTAAGAACTTTTAATTTAACTGTTGAATTTTTGAAAATTGATATAAAAGACAAGTTATTGAGTTAAATAAGTCTATGTAAACTTATTATTGATATATATCAAATAATTTGTAATATGTTAACAAATTATATATTTTATATATGTAATTATTTTTTTAAGTATTGTGAGACCCGCACCCCCCGCACCCACAACCCTCTCCTTCTCATTTTTCCATTTCTTCTTCCTTCCATTATCTTTTTTCCTGGCTGAATCCTAGGTGGTTGTGTTTGATATTGGAAGGTGGAACTATTGAGAATCAAGGAAAGTACTAAGGCTAGTCTTCCTCCCTGAAGCAAGTCCATTTCTCTTCTTCTCCTTCTCTTCTCTGGGAGCTCGAAACTGGACTTTTTCTCCCTCCGAGGTAAGAGAAGTTGGAATTTGTTGATTTTGAGACAAAATGTTGTATTGTTGCAGCAAATTGTTGGTTGCATGTTGATTGAATTAGTGTGTGTGAAATTAGAAAGTGGGATTTTGAGTTATTTGAAGAATTTGATGGATTGGGTCGGATTTCTTGTTGCATGTGAGGTTTGTGATGTTTTATGAGTTTCATGTTGATAGTGGTACTGTTTTCTTGCAAGTGCAGGTGTTGGGTCTCTTAGGGTTGAAAGTTTTGATGGGTTTTGGGTGGAAAACATGTGGGCAGTCATGGAAGGGCAGAAAGTTTAATCTGGAACGCTGAATTGAGCACTGAAATACTGGGGCTAAATGACTGAATTTGGTCTCAGGGTTTTCATAAAAATTGTAGCCTTGGATGTTAGCTTTCCAATGACACTAGAATCAACCAAAACGGAGGTCTGGAACTCCATATATGTCTATTTTAGTGAGCAGGGGTCAAGCTGTCAGCATTGGTTGGAACTGTTGCGGTTTTTAAAATTTTTAACCA